AAGTCACGGAAAATGTAACGAAAAGTTTAATGAAAAAGGCCTCAATAGAAGAAGAAGCCCATGAAAAGCCTCTTTCTTTCTAGTTTCTACTCTCCATCGCCAAAACCAAAAGTACCATTCCTCTGCTTAACTCTTCTTCTCCTCCTTCTCTCAGTCTCTTTCGCTGTAACTCTCCCTAAGGGTTTAACTTTCTCAGTGATCTCTGGATGATGCGAAGGCTAGTAGTCTCCTGTTTTCTCCGTTCTAAATTCTCCTTTCATCTATCGGAAAGGTCCGAACTTTTCTCTCGTCTTTTGATCTCTCGTACCCAAATCGGCAAAATCTCCCCTCAAATCAGTAATCCATTCTGTTCCGCGACTTTATTAAACCCACAAGTCGAAATTATCCGTAGAGAAAAGGATTCAGAAGATCATCAATCACTGGTTTTTCGCAATGAAAATGATGTTAGAACAAAGGGTTCTAATCACGCGGTCGGAATCTTACACGAAGCTATAATGGCGAATTTGAATGCTTATGATGATATGGAGAAAGCCCTAGACGAAACCGGTGTCGATTTGACAACTTTAGTGGTATGTAAGATCTTACAAAGGCTTCAGTTTGAGGAAAAAACGGCTTATAGATTCTTCTCTTGGGCTTCAAAACAGGAACATTACTCGCATGAGACTTGTACTTACAATGAGATGATTGATATATTGTCTAGTACTAAGTATAAGAACAAGCAGTTTAGGATTGTGATTGATATGCTTGATTACATGAAAAGAAACAATAAAACATCTGTTCCTGTAGATGTTCTGCTTGAGACTCTTAGGAAGTACTGTGAGAGGTATTTGACTCATGTTCAGAAATTTGCGAAAAGGAAACGGATTAGAGTGAAGACGCAGCCAGAGATTAATGCGTTTAATATGCTTCTTGATGCTCTGTGTAAGTGTGGTTTGGTCAAGGATGCTGAAGCTATGGTCAAAAGGATGAGGTATAAAGTTAAACCTGATGCGAATACGTTTAATGTTTTGTTCTTTGGGTGCTGTAGAGTAAGAGATCCTAAAAAGGCGATGAAGCTGCTCGAGGAGATGATCCAAGCTGGTCATAAACCGGAAAATTTTACGTATTGTGCTGCTATTGATGCATTTTGCCAAGCTGGAATGGTTGATGATGCAGCTGAGTTGTTCGAGTTCATGATAACCAAAGGCTCTGCGGTTTCTGCTCCAACCGCAAAGACTTTTGCTTTGATGATTGTGGCGTTGGCGAAGAATGATAAAGCAGAAGAATGTTTTGAGCTAATCGGGCGTATGATAAGTATGGGGTGCCTTCCTGATGTGTCAACGTACAAGGATGTAATTAAAGGTATGTGTAATGCTGGAAAGGTCGAGGAAGCGTACAAGTTCTTGGATGAGATGAGCAGTAAAGGTTACCCGCCTGATATAGTCACTTACAATTGCTTTCTTAGGGTACTGTGTGAGAATAGAAAGAGCGATGAAGCGCTTAAACTTTATGGAAGAATGATAGAGTCGCGTTGTGCTCCTAGCATCCAAACATACAACATGCTGATATCAATGTTTTTCGAAATGGATGATCCCGATGGAGCATTCAATACATGGAAAGAAATGGACGAGAGAGACTGCGCTCAAGACATTGAAACCTACTGTGCTATGATCAATGGGCTTTTCGACTGTCAAAGGGATAAAGAGGCGTGCTTTCTTCTGGAAGAGGTTGTGAACAAGGGTCTTAAACTGCCTTATCGAGCTTTTGACTCATTTTTGATGCGTCTGTCTGAGGTTGGTAACCTCAAGGCAATCCATAGGCTTTCTGAACATATGAAAAAGTTTTACAATCATAGTATGGCTAGGCGTTTCGCACTAAATGAAAAGAGAAAGAGTACAAGTCTCAGAGGGAAGTAATGTGAGCTGAAAAGCTGTTGGACCACATATTCCATCATACTAAACCCGCGGGAACCATTCTCAGAGATGAGATTCAAATGTGGGATGATTCTGTTGCCCTGGGAGGAGCTGGTCATTATTATGATCCCTAGTGAAATGTCATCCATTACCCGTCTCCAATTCTGGACCAAGAATCGTGGTCTCGAAAGCAAAAGAGACATATCCAGGTCAGTTGTCTAATGGTTATGTTGGTTTCTTCGGGATTGCTTTGGACAGCGCACAATATGTTTACCATGGTTGTCCAAAGTCATTGTATTGGCTATTGCGTACATAGAGCAGAATTTTGTATGATCCTGAATTCTTGAATGAATGCGACATGCCTGTTTTGTTCCTGATTCATACCTTCTGCTTTTTTGCTCTCTAATTCTCTTGGCTTTTTGAGTTAAATGTGAGATTCTTGAAACAATATGAGGTTTCTGGTAAAGGGATCGAACTCTTGGTGAGGCATTACTGTTTTGTCTGTCAGCATTTGGTGAAGTACCGAACAGTTGAGAAATGAATAACCGATCTTGTATTGTGTTACCGGTTTAGTGTAATCAGGATCCGGTTTAGTATGCATGAGTCTTTTTTGTTGAAGAAAATAAGGTTTTGATTAGTTAGTGATAGGTTCGAAACTGAAGAAGGCTTCTCTCCTAACTAACTCCACCAATAGAACAAATGAAGTTGGTTATTATGGCTTCCTTCCCAACTAACTCTGA